TTCCAATACCTCTCATCAGATCTAAAAGTTCTCCCATTTCTTTTGAGCCTTAAGTTCCAAAAAACTGCAAAGAAAGCCACCTTGCAAAGACCCCGACCTCTATTGCAAAAAGAAGGATTAATGACCTCTTCCACTACCTCCCCACAGGCCACAACCTCTGGGAGAGACCCAACTAATACCCAAAGTTGCCAAAAATCTGTTCCAAGGGCAAACACCAAAGCAAGTGGTATAGATCCTCCGCTGCCCTCCTGCATAACACACGCCATAAAGGACCCAGAACCAAGGAAGAAGATCTCTGGATAAAGGCCACGGTATTTATCCTCCCCAAGGTAACCCACCACGCAAAAACTTGATTTCTTACTTAAGTCTTCCAGAGCAGGGTAAATATAGGAGGGGCACAAGGTTGAAAAGACAAGCGATCAAAAAGAGATTTAGTGGAAGGGCCTCCTTGGCCCTTGTCCTTAGGCTATTCTTTGGTCCTTTTCTTATCCAAAAAAAAAAAAAAGTACTACAAGGTTCGAGAGTCCAAACACGATAATCATTAAATCATTCAAAGCCCAACATCTATCCGCTGCATTGTTCAACCAATTCTTCTCTAGATAACATATTTGTTGTTAATGTAGTTAAAATCATTTATATGACCAATCACATAAAAGCATGATATATCGATCAGAAGCAAATACTAGAGAAAATTTGAAAATTGACCTATGCAAACGTACAATTGAAAGACTGATATAAATGCAAATTCCAATTAGAAGCATGATGTGATGCACCTTTCACTCGTTCTAAAAACAGCACCAGCATTTTCCAGCAAAATTTTCAATAATTCCAATGCGACAATCTTCCCCTTCATTAACTGAGGATCCGCCATTGCCTCCTTCGGTGGTGTCTTCATAGATAACTTACAAAGAGCTCGGAACACCAAGAATGCATCCCTCCGCAGCTTATTACCAATCTGAACTTCCAAATCATCATCTCTCTCAATCTCCCCATCTGCCAACTCCCCTTTCCTTCCCTCCAATGCCGTTTTGTACATACTAATCTCCCAATACTTTGCGTCCAACATATCCTTGTCAGTTGAATCCAGCAAATCTGCAGGATTTGTTGTTTCCACCGTAGTAGTCTCAAATGCACCGTCGTGCGCACCTATTGAAACCTTACCTGGCGTTGTCGGATTCAAAACCCCATCAATATCCTGCATAATTTTCGTGATAAACCCTTGTACAAACTGCGTCATTGACCCATCTACGTCCGTTTTCTCAATCGGTTCCATCAATTCCGCAACAACAATTGGCTGAACCGGAACTGTAGACGAATCTGCTTCCATTCTCCGAAACACGATCACTAGCATTTGAATCAATGATGCCTTTGCTGTAGTTTGATTAACCACATTTTTACTGTCCAAGTAGATATCATAACAAGTCTTAACAATCTGCAGCAAACAATCCCCGTGAATTCGTAAAGAGATCGACGTGACTGCAGATAAAAGCGCCTTGAGCACCAAGAGCTCAACAGCATCATCACCTAAATCGTGACATTTGCACACCGATTCGATCAGCTTCGCCAGCAGTTTCCCCTCAGCGCCCCCACTGGGGTCAGCCTCCCCGCGCAAATAACCATGCGCGATCAACTTCTGAATGCAATCAACTGCTGGATCAGCTATCTTGAGAACTCCCGAAGACGAAGCATTAATTAAAGGGCTAAGAATAGACTCAGACTCAGCGAGCGAATATTCATTCGGACCGCCATCGTTAAGCGGTCCAGGAAGCGCGCCTTCCGCCTCGGAATCAGTAGGAGATGAAGGAGAAGATGGAGAAGATGAAGGCTTCGGATAGGACAACGTGAGGCGTTCAATAACAGATTTGCATTCATGTGCGAGCTTGGAGTGCTTGCGCCACGACGCGTTCTTAACGATCTTCTCAAGAGCTGGGGATACAACCTGGCTCAGACGGGAAGCGGCTTCCGAAGAAGCCATTCCCACCGGGTTTGTAAGATCCGGACAAGTTAGTCAGGATCTAGCAAGATATGAACACTTGTTAGGGTTTTAGCTTCGACTCTGGTCACCGGAATGTTACCTGCTCCGGCAATGACGGAATTTGACTTCGTCGGATTGGATCGGAATCGATGCCGGAGACGTCGCCGGCGAGGAATCTGTATCTCCCCTATGTCGAGAGAGAGATCGTGGAAATGGAGGGTGGAGGGAGGCGTCAGATTTAGATCGCGTTTTGGGTCGTCTTTATTTTTCTCTGATTTAGATTAATTTTCCGGTGTGAAATGACTAATACGCCCCGCGGAGAGACCTTATGAGCACCGAAATAACGCTCCTTCGCTTGGGGTTTTCGGGAATACATATTTTAATGCCGTATTTTAACGTTAACTGTTATGATCGGCGGGTAAGGTATACTCGGGGAAGCAAATCTGGGCCTCGTTAATCGTTACCGTTGCCTGGATTATTACTCATACGACTCATTAATTATAGATAAATAAATAGTATTTTGCGAAAATTGCGCAAACGCCCCCACTTTGTTTTGATATTATTAATTTGAGTCTCGAAGTAGAGAAAAAATTAATTATAAATTTCGTCCTTAAATTTTTATAATGGTGTCTTTTCTTTTTTAATTTAATAGCACGGTTTTTTTTTTTCAGTACAATCTGTGCAGATGGAAAATCGAACTTACAACCTCTTAGTTGGAGATATATTATAATTATCGCTGAGCTATGCTCACTTTGACTTAGTAGCACTGTATTATATATTTAAATTTTCGAACTTTTAATCGATGACATGTGTCTTAGCTGATTGAGTTATTTTCATATTGGAGATCAAACCAATACCGGGATGGTTTTTATATAATCCTTAGTGTACCATTTTTTGTTAGCTTAAATGTATAAGGTTGGGGATTCAACCATCGATTTTATGATGGTAATATGTGCCCTATCCACTTAACTATGTTCGAACTGGTTATTTAATGTCACGTAGCTAAATAAAATAATTTTATGATATGCATTGGATAAATATTTTGTAATTTAGTACAACTCACGTGCTAGCAGAAAGAATTGAACCAACTAGACAAAATAGATTGGTGCATAGGGTAATGTATCCAAGTATCATGGAGTTATACAACTTTTATAGTCAGTTTATTTATCTTTTTTAACACACTAGATGAACAACGTTTATCTAGTAGACATGTCAAGTCATTGTATTAGTTAACAATAACAACAACATAAAGATTATATACCGTTATAATTTTGAGTTTGTCAGATATAAAGGTTAAAATATACATTCAATTACAAGTTTTGGTTTACTAACTCCCATAGGATATGTCTATTGTTCAATACTTGTAATTTAAATATCTTTTAAAATGCTACCTAATTCTCATATATCTTATTTTTTAATTTAATAGGTTGTGAACTTCAAATTTTGTATTACGTAACTTTGACATTTTTTTTATTGGTTTAACACTTTTGTGGTGGAACATCTTTAACATACACAAAAGTAGACGATCATGTAATTATCAAATAATATTGTCAATCTCGACGTGTCGCAAAAGTAATAAACTGGTATAATTAACAATAAACTTATTATACACCATTATTAAGTTTAGTGACCTAATAACAACTCTCTAAACTTTAATGACAGATATTGATATACTCAAACAAACAAAAATGACAACAAATAAATCATCCTAAGAGTTCAAGAACCAAATATATAATTTCTACCAAAATAAACATATATTCAAACTAAATTTAAAAAGATGACGATTACATATGTAGCAAGTCTTGCTCAAATATCAATTCATCGTAAACTAACAAATTTGCAAAAATAACCACAATTACAAGTTCAACCCACGTAAAAATGTATGAAAAGTATGCGGCATATTTCAACATCGAGTGTCTATTAGTGATACCTATCAACCGATGATAGACCATAGTCGTAGTGATACAAACATCACATATATACTATATGGATAGAATTAAAATATTATGGGTATTATTTTTGCATGCTTATTTAATATGTTGATATACTACATACTACGTAGTATATTACTAATATTTCACGTGAAAATGACATATCAATAATTATGTAACTTTCATTTATTTTAGTACAATAAGTGGAGGGGGAAGATTCGAACTCATGACCATTGACAGCTCATGTTAGCATTATGTAATTTTCATTTGCTATCAAGTGTTCTTTATACATTCATAGTTAATTAATATGTAACGTATCGATATACAACATAATAAAAATGTATTTTACCGATTGTGTAATTTTGATTTTATATAAATGTTATTTTTGTATGTTGATTTACTATTAGTCTATCAGGATACACCATATGAACTTAATTAAAATGAAATATCTTAGATTGTTTAACTTTTATCTTGTACCTGCATTATATTTGCATGTTTATTTAATGTTCGGTATATCATTGATACACCACATTAATCAATACAATAAAAATGGTATAACAGTGATTATATTTACTTTCATTTTCTACCTATGTTATTTTTTACCTGTTTATTTCACATATGATCTATCATTAATATACAATAGCAATAGAATTAAAATGATATACAATGGTTACATTATATTCGTTTTTTATTAATGTTCTGTTTACCTAATGATTTACTACTTGGCATACCATTTATATACCATATAGATATAATAAAATTGATATATAGTAGATTATGAAAATGATATATCACTATAGTATGTCTATAATTGTCAGTCTGGACCTAATTCAATAAATTAAGATATCTATATTTGACTAGAAAGATTGTGAGTTCAAATTAATCTCCTCTTCTTGATTAGAAAAAAGTAATATTTATAATTAATAGAAGTCTATCATCCATCACATAAACAGAATAAATAAAAAGAGAATTACATTAATTAAAAAAAAGTATCAAAATAGACCAAAATTTAAATTTAAATAAACAAAAAAAAAACTTTTTATAAATTTGCAGATCGTTACGTGGGATAGATTTGTAAATAGAGCAATCAAATTTTGAAAGACGACATTCTTATCCATAATCTACAGCTATCGCGTCCAGTCCAGACCAGAGAAATTGGTCCATTGCTCTGCTCCGTTCCAGCCGGAGCTCGAAGCTTTGGAAGAAGCCATGCCATGTGCGAGGGATTCTCGCAGGGTTCCATCGTTTTGATTCGTTCAGGCGCCCGCTAGAGGCACCAGATAGAGATCAACGTGTTCAAGGTCTGTTTTATCTTCTTCTTTTGCCCTATCTGCTTAACGTAGCCTCACATTTTTGGTAGAAATCTTTGATTCTCCTTCGCCGTACTTGCAGACTAAAATCGATTCGCGGATTTGGCTCATATTGGAGAACTTTTTTTTTTTGTGCGAATTTGGTTTTCTTGCTGATTATGGGAACCTTCCCCTGTAACATTATCTATCAACTCCATCCAAGACAGCCATTGGTTAATGGAATTGCAGAAGGTTCGTGTTATTGTTACTTGGGAGGCTCAGTTGAGCAAAGACGCAGGGTTTTTAGCTCTCGCAGAAGCTGTTCTCAATTGGCTGTCGCTGCCGCCATTGTTGAGAGAGTTCGAGAAACAGGAAGTGAAATTGAGAAACTGAGGTTTCGGTGGGTCGAGGTGGGCTCTGATATTACTGAAACGCAGAAGCAGGCCATATCTCGGCTTCCTCCGAAGATGGCTAAAAGATGTAAGGCGCTGATGAGGCAAATTATCTGTTTCTCACCTCAGAAGGGTAATTTATCAGATTTGTTGACGGCTTGGGTGAGGATTATGAAGCCTAAAAGAGCTGATTGGCTTTTAGTTCTTAAGCATTTGAGACTTTTCAATCATCCATTTTACATCGAGGTATGTGTAGTTGGACTTCATTTTTAACTTCTGATAAACAGGAACCTTAAGTTAACAGAAGAACCAATGTGAAGGATGCTTTAAATCATTTTAAAAATATAGGCCATTGATTCAAATCTCTAGGATATTAGAATTAGAATCATATGAGTTTTATGATAACATTTGGTTATAGCAGTAGGCAGTTATATTCACTTGTATATGATTTTTAGATTTTAAAGTTGTGATTCTTGATTAGGTTCAAGTTCAACAGACTATTTTGCATTTACAAATACCCCCAGTTGATATGTTGAAGTTTTCTATTTTCTAAGCAATTGGTAATATCCCATAGTCTGAAGTGAATGAGTGCGTGGTGGTTATTAGGTGGCAGAAGCTGCTCTTCTAGAGAAAACATTTGAAGCCAGTACTCGGGATTTCACGAAAATTATTCATTACTATGGGAAGCAGAACCGACTAGAAGATGCGGAAAAAATTCTCTTAAGCATGAAAGAAAAGGGTTTTGCTTGTGATCAAATAACTTTAACTACAATGGTCCACATATATAGCAAGGCTGACAAACTTAATCTGGCCAAACAGACTTTTGAAGAGCTCAAACTGCTTGAGCAACCGTTAGATAAAAGGTCGTATGGTGCGATGATTATGGCGTATATCAGGGCAGGGATGCCTCAGGAAGGAGAAAGCATTCTCAGAGAAATGGATGCGAAAGAAATTTATGCAGGAAGTGAAGTTTACAAGGCCTTGTTAAGAGCGTACTCCATGACTGGCAATGCTGAAGGAGCGCAAAGGGTGTTTGATGCAATTCAACTGGCTGCTATTCCTCCTGATGAAAAGTTATGTGGTCTCCTGATTAATGCCTATCTGATGGCGGGTCAAACTCAGAAGGTGCGAATTTCGTTTGACAATATGAGGAAGGCGGGTCTCGAACCTGTTGACAAATGCATAGCTTTGGTATTAGCTGCATATGAAAAGGAGAACAGGCTAAACGCAGCACTGGAACTTCTAATAGACTTGGAGAAGGAGAACCTCATGGTTGGAAAGGAAGCTTCAGAAATTTTGGCAGCCTGGTTTAAAAGACTAGGGGTGATAGAAGAGGTAGAACTTGTCTTGAGAGAATATGCTATGAAAGGAGCTAGTGGCTAAGGTATCGACACACCCTCGGTTGAAAAGTCCGATCTTCCTACTGAATTGAAGTCTTATGGTTTGTTATTGCAAATGTATGCTTTTTTTGTTGGAAAAGAAGGAAATGCTTCTGCTCAGTTTCCTGATTTTAAGGGTTGTAGTTACGTAATTTTAAAACAGAAAAAAAAAGTAACTCTGTGCGCACACACAAGGAAAAAGAGTTTTACAAGCTTGTTATTGAAATTTTCATTCTGATCAATACATGATACAAGAGCTGAAGTTTAACTTATTATCAGGAGGAACCTTGTGATGATCAGAACCCAATCACAGTTAGGCTCGTTTTGGGAGGTATGGAAATAAGGAGGCACCAATACACTGCATTGAGGACAGTTGTTTGTAAATGAGTCGTTGATCCCTGCCGGCCATGGATGGGAAATTGTTGCTTCCAATTTGACATGATTCGAATGGAGACTGCGGTTTTGATCCTGAAGCTTGCACCACAGGATCGAGCAGTAGGGAAAGATCCGATGAAACGGGCAAGGAGGGGGAATCTAATGGCAGGTTTGAAATTGAGGGTAGAGATGGCTTAATCAGAGGTGGTGGCTGTGCCTGTAGATTGGATTGGGGTCTTCGAAGCTCGGATGCTGCTAGGTATGCTTGTAAGTATGAGAGCTCAGCTCGCAACCTCGCTGCCTAAAAGAATGTGTAGCTCTCAGATTTCGACATTTACCGAAAAATTAACACATACAAGAAATGAAACTGAAACAGAAAGCTAGATAACATATACAAGTTTCTGTTCCTCGTATGAAGATATAAAGATGATCTATGGATATCAATTCTCAGGTGGATATAACACTCGTGAAGTAATGAGCTAATTGGCTTTACCTGTTCTTGAAGAGCAAAGATATGAGCAACACAGCCAAGAACTGGCTCTCTGACCCGAGCTTGAGCTTCATAGCATATGGTTATAGCAGCGTCAAGCCGCTTGTGTTCTGGAATATGTAAAAGCAGCTTCGATACATTGCTGGCTCCGAACACCTTGTGCACCGCTGCAAAATGAGCCGTGCCCTGTTCGGAGTCGAAGTAGGGTGCAAATATACACCCAGGCAGACACTTCCTCCGCAGAAACTTACACGCACCGCAAGGTCCACTGCCTCCCCCATTGCCGCCTGTGCAACTTCCTCCACTGCGCCCCGTGCTCATCTTGGCCTACTCCCTCACTGGTCCTTATGGAAAAGCTAAGAAAAAAGCTCAATGGAAGACAAGCATATGGAGCTGACTTTGAGCTGAGTTTGGCACACAAGGTATATATAATCGTTATTCTTCTTTCCATTTACATCTTTCTGTGTGTTAGTTTGGTGGGATTTGCAAATTGGAAGGAAATATAGATTTTGGAAGATTGAAATATGGATGCCTTTTTTCTTTTTTTTTTTTCTGGGAATTATTGAAGATCTGAACCTACTTGTAAAATAGTTTTTGTTGACAACGAGATGGGTTAGAGGGATCATAGGGTAGGTGTTTTTGACAATACATAATTCATGGATAATTTATTAATTATTATTATTAGTTTGTTCAATTTGATGAACACTATTTTGCCTTGACTTTCTCTTCCCCAATCAGTAGTTCTATTCATCAATTCAGAGCATTAGGATGTGATGTATAAATCTGAGTTTGGGATGATTTTGGATCGGATAAAAGTGATTTTTATTTACTAGAAGCACTTTTCAAAATCTTTCTAATGCTTAGTCAAATAATTAAAGTGGGTTTAGTTACTCTCTTAAAAGAAACAACTTAATTAGTGCTTATTTCAAATTTTGTCTCAGAACCCACTATTAATATAGCCTAACTTGTTAAAACTTTTTACATGTAATTAAAAAAGATCATAAGATTTTGAAATTGGACTAATATTTGAGTTACAAGGTTGGTTGTTGAGTGTTAAATTATTAAGTTGGTCAGGGTGGTGTGATTTGAAGATATTGGTAGAATGCTTATAAATTGTAAATTGTAAGATTAAAGAATTAATTTTTAAAGAGTGAAAAACTTAAACAAAGAAGGTATTGATAAAAACTTTAGTTTAGAAAATAGAAAACTAAAAATAGATTTGTTTTCAAACGAGACAAAACAATTCCAAGCAAAGTAAGAAACTTGCATCAATGATTCGTGCTAATACCATCTTGTGATTCTAAAAGTCTAAATTTAAAATTAATTAAAAAAAAAAAGTAAATAGACAGATAGAGTGAGAAAGAGAAGAATCAAGAGAGAAATTTTGTTGAATATTTGTTTAAAATATATATATTTTGGTGTGTTGTGTAGCATTTACACAGAAAATGCTGCTTGAATTATGTGATATCTTACAAGTTTTCTTCAGCCGTTTAGTAAAAGATTTAATCTCGAGATCACCAAAATTATGGATACCTACAACGACTATCATTACTTAGCAAAAATTTCAAATTTGAAGAAAACTATGTATTAAAAATTACAAGTTGTCTCTCTGGTATGGGACAACTTGACATCAAATGCTTGAAATAAATGGAAATAGAGTGGAGAAGAAAAGTCTATTGAAGAAAACTATTCCGAAAAATTATATCAAGATATTTTTTATTTGTTTAGTAAGGACTTTTTGGTAATGTTTTCTCATTTTTTTTTCTTTTTTAGTAAAGAAAAATAAAATTGCATGGCCTTCAACTCCCATAAATTCGAGAATAATAAAACACAGTTTTTATTTATGTTATAATAAATTGGAAATGAAAACACAAAACAAGGAACTTCTTTTTGTTGTTTCAAAATTTATCTATACAATGTTAAGAATGTTTCTAATGAGAAATAAGAAACATTAAATTTTGTGAAATGCTTAGATTTCTTAATAAAATTGGAAACGAGAATGTTGCCAAACGAGAAAAATAGGATTACGTTTGCTAACCGTTTCTTATTTTTTGTTTTTTGTTTCACTTATTGTTATTGTTCTCTAAAATTGTAGATTAAAAAAAGAGATAAATTTTTTTTATATTAAATTAAATTTTAAATTTTAAAACTTGAATTCTTATGTTATATTTATTGTGCATTTCTCTCATTTTGAAAAAAAAATGGAAACATGGAACAAAAACTTCAAATTGAAATCAGAAAAAAAAAATTGGAAACAAGAAACGAAGACGTTTATTAAAACGAGCTCTTAATTACTTCATAAATAATAATGTCCTAATTGGTTCTTTTAACTTTTTGYCAAAAAAACGAACATAACTCAACTATAATTGACATATATTTCTAACCAAAATATTGTGAGTTCGATCCCCCACCTCATATCACATATTGTACTAAAAAAAACTTTCATGTTTATTCTATTTTGACTTTTTAAGTGTTGAAAATTTCTACTTCGACTCTTGAACTTATTTAATGTTCTTTTTTTTTTTAGCTTTAAATTTTCGTATTGTATTTGACTTAAGTCAGCTTGTATTTTTAATTCAATACTAAATTTAAAATATAAGTTRTATAACTTTTTTTTCCGTTAAAAACGCTGCAAAAAGTTTAATGGCAAATGAGAATGGATCTTTGTAATACAAAAACTGTAGACCAAAACAGAATGGTTGAATTGTAATACTAAAAAATAATGACATAAATACTAAATCAAAATAAATGTGAAAGTTTAGGAATAAAATAATTAATGCTGATGATGATAATAATAATACTTTAATATCCTAACCACCCATTGGGGGAAAGTTTGTTAACATTGACAAAATTTTGAAAGCAATCTTGATGCGTCTTTTCCTTCATTTTAAGATATTACTTTCGAATGTCAAATAAAACATTAATTTGTTTAAATGGGAAAAATATTTTGAGAAAATCAAGGACCCATTTGCAAATTTTGACAAAACATGGCTATCAAATTATATTTAATACGATTTGGATTTAGCCAACTTGACAATTTGGTTGCAAATCTCCACATAGACATTTTCTTCTCTGTTCTAATCACAACGATTTTCACTTAAATTTTAATTACATTTTTCARACTTCTGTTTTCTCACTTTATTTTGCTATGAGTTTTTAATGTTTTGCTTTTTAAATTTTTTTTTTTTAATTTAAGAAGATTTTGCTATTAGGTTTCTTCTGGCCTAAGAAGAGAATCACACGCTTTAATCGGGCTTGAGGCCCACGAAAAGATATTTGGGCCAAGCCCAACTTATATGCCGAGCTCCCAAACATGATATCCATATACTTTCAGAACCATTTAAGGAAATTATACACAGAGAGTAAATGAAAGCAAGTTTTATAAATAMTCACTCAAACATATTTTCACCAAAAAAAGGATAAAACTAAAAACAAAAACAAAATAGAAACAAAATTTAAACTAAACTCTCTAACAGAACAAGAAATTAACCTTTGTTAAACCAAGATCACACAACTCATAAGGCACCTGTGACATTAAGTCAGAAAAACATCTCATTCTACTATGCATCAACACTGATTATTGTCATTTCATTGTTATTTTTTATGGAAACCGACCATCCATCCACATCAAATCCTCGGTGAAAATGTCAACTTAAGCATAGCCCAATTGGTTAAGACATTCTAATCCTCGTTCCTACACGTTGAACTAAAAAAATCAAGAAAAATGTAATAACCAGTGTCAGATGAAATAATGCAGTGTAAACATTCAAACCAACCTTTAAACCAGCTGATGCAGCTGAGCTTCCATTTATAAGCACCACTAATCCGTATATATATACTTGAAGCTGGATGGCTCCTTGCTTTCAGCTGCAAAAAAAGGAAACCATTAAGCACAAACCTTACTAGATGAGGTACTTCAGTATTTGGCCTTCCAAACCCAAGTTGGCAGATTAGTTCTTTCGTCCCCGGATTTCAGTTGTCCAGGGAGGAATATGCCTCCCCGGCTTCCTCTCAGTTTACAGCCACTGATCCTTCAAACCCGACGAAGTTGGTTGTCGGGCAGGTAGAATTCCTGCTTTCTCTGTGTACAGACAAAGGCTTTGCACGTATGAACTAATCCAGTTTGCTCTTATAACACACACAGTTTCCATATTTCACAAAGAAACATAGAACTGAGGCCATAAAACCAATATACAAATTTTCATGCAAGTGTTCATTGACTATGATCAGTTCATAAGCTATATCAGAATGATGTGCAAACGACCATGAAACGCAATGTTTTCTGTTAATCTAGACAATGATAGTCATGTTGATATGCTGAATAAACGATGTCGTAACTGTACAGGGCAAGTCCAACGATGGCAGAGCATTTATATATCTTTATAAGATTTAAAAAGTAAATTATACAGTCAATAGGAAGCTATGTTAAATAATAGAATGGTCAAGACTAAAGAGAAACATCAAATGAAATATCCCACATCAATGGTTGTCGCAAGCTTCAGAAACAGGACACAAATAAACAAAAGCACTCAGAAAGTTCATCATACATCTCAGAGTGAAATCTAAAATGTAGAGAAGGAAGTCTTAGGGATAAGGATTATATCTGTGGAACTAGAACAATGCCATTTTAAAGTAGTTTTCGATGCATAAAAACCCCGTTGATAGGCAATGGAGATCATTCAATAGTTGGTAAAAACTCAGGAAAGAGAACTAAAGCCTACACCAAATAGCTATAAACGTATTATTCAGAGATCCAACCTCATAACTTGAAAAGCCAACATCTGATGTAAAAGCTAAATTCAAGCATATAATCGTTAGTGCTTACATATTCAATGAGATGCAGTAAGAATCTTCTTTAAATCATGAACATAAGCAAGGTATCGATAACTCTGAAAATCATTCTCTAAATAAAATGTCAACGCATCACAGAGCTCTCTTCTCACTCTTTCTTCTGAAGGAGTATGGGGGAGACCAGAGCTTTGTACAGGTAGCAGTCTATACATCCTGCAGCTAAAACCAGCCCGTCCTGAAGTATATATAGGCAATTCGGGAGTCTCGAGTCATCGGACATTGGAATTTAGAGAGCAGAAAGTGCAGAAATGCACAAAACAATACGAGGCAAACCATATCTAGAAGAGCAAAAAGAGAAAAAAAGAAAAAGAAATCTTCATGTATCTGAATAAGATTGGATAGGAATGGTCAGTGGTATCAAAAAAATTTGAAGGCCCAGACCAGGGTAACAAATATTGATGAGTAGAGTCTGTATAGAGTAGTCAGTTAGCGAAACTTTACAAAAATACAATGAACAAGGATGACGATGCTCACTTGAGGCTTCAATCTCCTGTATACATAATGTACAGCCCCCCTTCCTAATTCCAGCAGTGGGGATGTGCAAATGAGAGAGCCGTAAGCTCATGACTATACTAGAAAAGGTCACAGGGCTCTTCGAGAGCCTAAACAATCTCCCCGTGCTTGAATCCACTATCTCCACAATCTGCATTAGAGTCCAGATCACAAGGGGAATCGTACCATTTAGGGTTCTCTGGGTAAAATCCGTCAACATGCATACCAACAAGACCTACATCTGCCACCATGCTCTCGTCGTGTCTCATGGGCTTGATTAGTTTTGTATCCTCGCAGCCAAGAAGACTTTTATCATTAAAGTCGGTGCATTTAAACCATCTTTCAGGTTTGCAAGGCTCACTTGTCAGTTCTTTCTGACTCCTACAGTCTGTCCTCATATGGTCCTCCCAAGGAACGACGTCCCGAAGGGTTTGACCAAAACTGTCTACGTCATCCTCAATCAATTCACCGTCTTTGGCATCCCCATATAAACGTTCGTGATGGTGATTGCTCCAATGTGCCAAATCATTCTCCCCATCTAACACATCATCTGAATGAGGCTTGTCTGCAAGCAACTCGATGGGCTCCAATTTCTCTTCTCTTATACTCCTAAGTTTATTTAAAACATCAGACAAATCGCGGGACACTGAACCCAACAGCTCATGTGGAACCTTCGTAAGTTTCCCTTCTAACAACTCAAGTTCGTTTCTTGCCTCATGCACCTGCTGCAAGATAGAAAGCTGCAAATCTCCTTCATCCTTCCCCATCAGTCTAAATCCCTCATTTTCCATTTCCTCACTCACCCCATAAACTGTATCATGATCCATTAACAGCCCACCTTTGTGCCCAATCACACGATGCATAATTCTCGCATTTCCATCCAATGGCCCGGGTTCATGCCCTGAGTGCACGGCATACAACTTGAACACTGCCACACCCTCGTCCTGATACACAAAGGTCTTATCCTTCTCGTTGTAATTGGTTATGGGTACGATGGCTCGAATACGAAACCCACACCCGCATCTCTTTGATGCATATGGCTCTCTTTTCAAAATCTTCGACTTCTTGGTAGCAGGTTCCCCTGCCCTATGACAAGCATAGTCCTTAACCTCCGCCATGAAAGGCTTATACCTAATATACTTCTGCCTAATGCAAAGCACCACCTTATGTTTAGCAGCCAGTTGCTGAAGCTTGTGCGGCACTTCCTTCGCAGGCACCTCAAGAGTATCCGTATACTCAAACCTCCGCCGCTTACTCCTCGAACCCGATGCGGAGGACGCGGAGTTGCATACAGGGCAAGCAGCAACACAAACCCTAATGTAACTCTCAGGAATCCCATAAAATTTAGCCCCTACAGTCCAAACCTGCTTAATTCTCTCTATGGTTTCCTTTAACCCTAAATGTTTCAAGTCCGTATCGCCATGAAAACTGGTAACAATGTCCTGCCATTGACTAATATGCGAGACGAATTGCTGAGTATTGTTCTTGAAATAGAGAAATTCGTTACCGTTTTCGTCGACCGTGGCCGTGAGCTTGTCCTGGATTCTCTTCCAAGCGGTGAGATAAGCGGTGTCCTCGTTCCGGTCCTTCCACACGGTGCGCCACGACTTGAGGACGGAGCGCGACGTGGCGGCGCGTATCTCACACGGCGTCGCGAGGCGGTGCTCGAGAATGCAGCGGATCATGAGCGAGTGCGACTCGGGATTGAAGGTGTAGAACTGAGACGATATGTGAGGCTCGGGCGAGATGTAGAGGGGCGGTTCGTGGAGATTTTGGGAAGTGGATGTAGGGTTCGGGGCGAGTTGACTCAAACGAGTGGAGTGAGTCGGGGAATCGTCGGAGGAGGAGTTGCTCGGGGACGACGGCGAAGGCGACCGGAAGAGCACAATTTCCGGCAGCGAGAACGGCGGCTCGCCGTGGTGCGAATTGGTAATGGACGGCTGAGATTCAATGATCTGGGTGGTAAGTGGGTCCAGATCATCGTGAAGACGATGGTGGTGGAAGAGATCCTCTTCAATTTTGCTCGGATTCATCTGCCGATTGAAACAAGAACAAGAACAGGAATAAAGGATAGAAAACAAAAATGTTCTTCTGCTGTTCTTTCTCTAAGCTCTGGTCTGTTTCTCTGACATTTTTGGGGGGACTCGAGTCGAGGGTAAGCCTTCTCTCTCTTCTCTCTCTTCTCTCTCTTCTCTCTCTCACTGTGACTTTCTTCTGTTCTATCTGGGTTTCTCTCTCATCCCCTTTACCTTCTCTCTCTCTCCATCGTTTTTGCTCTCCTGCCTCCTTGTTTTAGTGTACATTACTTTTTGGGCATTTTTTTGGTTCATAATGAATTGGATTTGGGGGAATTAGCCACGTGTACAAATATAATTTCGCTATCCTTAACATAGGTCAATACAAGGAGGGGTTGGAATCTCGCACCCTRAACAAAATTCAGGGGCACCTKCRCTCGCTTCAAAGTCGAGATCGAGAGTCATTGAAAGCTTSGAAATGATCAAAAGACTTCAAATTCTTGCCAATCGAACTGTCTTTGGGGGATTTTTTCACATTTGTCTTTGTAAGATTATTCAATTAATTTAAACGCATTTCACTAAATAATGTTTTGCTTCTTTAACCTATTCAAAGATAATGTYTTGGTACGTGATTTTGGTTAACATAGGCTTGCTAATATCTACTTTTTTGTTTTTTTGTTTTTTCTTKGTTGGTTTGAGTCATTTTTCATTTATAAATGTGATAATCTTATTAATAAAAGTGTATTTTTTTGCTACTCTATTGAAATGACTTTGGATGGATGGTTTTTGTTATATTTTGTAGGTGTACTTCATGGGTAATTAATTCTAATCATTATATTTTGAATGGATCTGTAAAAAAAAATAAAAAATAAATCATTATATTTTGAATTAGGCATATATTTAGTTTTTGTTGCTCATRAAAGTAATATTCATTTGCGATAACATGAGCTGCACATATTTGTGATTAAAAGATCATGAATTCGAATCCTCTCGCTTCCCCTTGTTGTATTAAAAAAACACTAATTTGTTGAAATTTTAGTATGAATCTAAATCCGAGCTAAACGATAATGCATCGTCTATTGATACGGTGAGATCCGATAGAGATATATGATCGTTCAATTGTGCCATCGGGAACAGGAGGAGGAGCCGCCTAGGTATAAAAATTAATGCATGAAAACTAAATTCAAACATTTTAAATTATAAAGCAACAATAACTATATGCATTTTTATCAAAAAAAAAAATAATAACTATATGCAAATCACAGGTAAGCATTCATAAGTTTAAATGTAACACAATTGGTATAAAATTAATGCATGAAAACTAAATTCCATTTTTTAAATTATAAAGCAACAATAATTATATGCAAATTACAAATAAGCATTCATAAGTTTGAACCGTCACTAATATTCTCTAATAGAATAAAGTTTAAATTATGAACAACACATCAATTGAACTTAACTCACTAAGTAAGAGAATAAAAATTGGTGGTTTCATAAGAAAAAAATATACGGTGGCTAACTTAAACTTAACTCAATTAATTAAAGTATATATTTTCCATAAAAAAACAGTGAGTTGGATTGTAGTATTACAAATTTTTAAAAGAAAAATTGGAGTGATTCGCTGTAGAGTAGTAGCGGAGGAGCGGCCATCTTCTTCCACGTGGCTAAAATTTTAAAGCACTTGCTCTCTCATTTGACACCATTCTTTGTTTTGGTTGTATGCTTTCTTCACCATTTTTTTCCCTRATATATCAAATATTGTTCTAATTTTTTTTTCTTTTATTTCGTCTTTAATCTTTTAAAATTTCATTTTGTCATCAATATTAATAAATCTCAATTAAGCTTTCATTAAAAAAAWTTTTTTGTTAATATAAAACTAATGTATCATTCCATTATTGTTTTATTAATATATTTTGATATGCGGACCTACTACATGGCATCTCACACGGAAGAAAATAAATTTTGTTAATCGGAGGGTTGAATTTTGTTGACGAACAAACGAGTCTTATGTATCAAATAACATTAGAGTAACATGTTCATTGGTATAAATATATCGACAAAACAACAATGGAATGATTTTCAACTTTTGTTAAAATTGTTCAACAAATATTTCATGGAGTAACTTAATTCATATTTTTAAATACATTAAACACCAAATTAAGAATTGAGTAAAATAATAGGGACCATCCGATATGTCTAGTCTTTTATTTTCTCATTGGAAAATTCCAAATTATACGTCGTTTTAGGACGTGAATATCATCTCATATTGATTAAAAGAAAGAAACGCAACTATTTAATTTAAACTATTGACAAAATTTTACATGTTAATTTTTTTTATGTATATACTCTTTCAATTATAGAACTGTAAGTATATTAAGTATAATATGTGGGGGTCCTTTTGTGATTACGGATGGTATGATACCCAAATGGAGATTGAATCGAGGAACTTTAGTGGCATATGAAAGCAATATCGTAATTTTTTCCAAGTCTATTTGAGACATGCGGAAGCACTAGACGAGAACGATAGATTTACCCACAACGTCATTATAATTCCTTCCTTCGTTGCTTTGCAAGTATTATTATTGTTGAAACTTGTTTTTTTTTTCTTTTTTTAGTACAACAGATGGGGTGGGGATTCGAACTCTCGACCTCATGATTGGATACACGTACCTTAACCTACTGTTCAGATTGGCTTGAAATGTGTTTTTACTATTTTTTCGGTGGAGGTTTTTATTTGACCGAAAAAATGTTTRAAATAGTAATTTGGGCCTTTTGAGCCTTTCCCCTTTTGGGCCTTTAGCTTATTACTAAGAAGCACTTTTGGATCGAAACCAACCAAAGCCCATTAACAAAACCAAGACCTCTATTTTATACCCCACTACAAATACAACGCGAGAGCCTTTGTAAATTTTATAATACCTAACATAGTTTTATTAAACAAATTAAAAATTAAAAACATCAAATAGTTATCTAAAATTACTTTTTCAAAAATAAAATAATTGTAATATAAAATTAGACTGTATTTTACTATCTCACACCTTTTTTTTATTTGAATAAAAAAGGCAATAAGAGGAATAGAAATCTGTAAGAAAAATTATTGGATTAATGTTGATCAGTAAAGTGTAAAGAGAAAGTAATAATTGCCAATTTCTACAAATTTAGCGATTTTAATAAAATAGTTAAAGTGCGTTTGGAATGAAGTTTGGAAAAAATTAATTTGTAAATAAAAATATTTTTTGTATAAGCACATTTAAAAATAATTACCTATTTAGAGTGCGTTTGTATAATATTTTTTGTATAAGCACATTTAAAAATAATTACCTATTTAGAGTGCGTTTGTATAATATTTTTTGTATAAGTACATTTAAAAATAATTACTTATTTAGAGTGCGTTTGTATAGATTCGTAACTGATTTTAGATTATTAAAAATATTTTAAATACATATATAACTTTTTATTTTTATAACAACATATGGGGTGGGAGATCGAACTCACAACCCCTTAGTTAGAGATATATGTCTGCTAAACTATGTTCGGTTTGATTTAAAAATATATACAATAATCTTGGTAAAAGTACAAACTATATTTAAAAAAAATCAAATTGGTTTTAAAAACTAATTTTTACTTCAAAGATAGTTAAATTTATTGTCCATACAAAATTTAAACATCTGAGATATGATCCTAAACAAATATATATATTTATATATTTAAATGAAAAATATATTTTTATATTCGTGAGTGTTCGGGCAGCTTGCAATGAAAATATATCTAAAACTCACTTCCCAGCTTAATTAATATTGTTTTGTCAACCTGAACATAGATCAACTATTCCGATCAAAATATCGTGAGTTTGAATCTCCATTCATATATTTTATAATAAAAAATATATTATCATTTAAATTTAGATTGAGTGAACCAGTTGCCTTGGCATATGCAAGTATTGCAAGAAAATAAAAGCAAATATATTATTTTTAATATAATTATTATAATCGTCTTGGTCAATCAATAAAGTTACATTTGGTAAAAAAACAAAACGCAAAAAAGAAGGAAAATGACAAAGCTGCTTCCATATTTTAATTTCCAAGAGAAGTGCACATGCAAGCAAATGTTAAAACACTTCTTTTTTATTATTTTACCAAATAAAGAATATTGGGAATTGATTACAGATTATTTAAATTTAAATTTTGAATGTAATTATCCAGCTCTTTCAAAATTTTAATTAAAAATTATAACTTATAAATTTTGAGGTTGATGTATATTAGGTTTGAAATTTTAAAAAATATTTAATAAGTTAGATGTCTGAATTTTAAATTTTGTGCTATATAGCATTTTTTAAAGTTACATACTTTATTTTTCTTATGCCTCTGAAAAACAAATTTAAAATATCATTTACTTATTAAATATATATATATATATATATATATATATATACCTTATAATTGTTCCTATATTTTATGAAATGTCAAAATTTAAAATCTAATGACATACAAGGAATTTTTTAAAATGTATGGACTTACTATATATTTTAAAAACTTCAAATATTAAAATTGCGATTTGATAAATTTAATGCATTCAGCATTTTTTTTTTCGTATTTCAAACTTGCATGACTTAATTATTGAAAATTTATCTTTTATTTAGTTTAAATATTAGTTTGTTCATATACCATTTGTATTTATTTTATTTGCACTTTCTTAATATTCGCTGTGATGTCTATATTTTTAAGTGGTCAATTTAATTTATATTTGTAAACTTTTAACATATAATTTATACATAAGAAAAAAATTTCCATACAAATTTATGGTTATATTTCAATAAATTGAGTAGGTCAATAAATTGAGAAGGTGAAGTGTATGCTAAAATTAGAATATAAATAAATGAGACTAAAATTGTTAATTTTAAAAATATATCAACCAAGATGAACGTATTTTAAAAATATAGGGATCAAACCAAACAAAAGTTAAAAAGTACATGAAAAAAATAGTTATTTTTAAAATATCAAAATAAAAATAATTTATAAAATAGTATTTAAAGAAAATAAATATTTAACTTTTTTTTCTTTTAATATAATATATAAGAATGAGAAATCCCTTTTTTAATAATTATTGTTGAACTATGTCCAGGTGGAAGGGAAATTTGAATTATTGAATAAATGAGACCGAAGCAGGACAAAAGAGTAAGCCACCAGTGTCACCCAAAAATATAATATCACCCATTCCAAGCCAGTAATTGTCAGTCGCTGGATAAAAATAAAAT